AAACGACATCATGACGATGTGTCCTGTTTTACTGTATGCAAACAGTGCGTACTATAAAAGTGTGTGTGTGTGTGTGTGTGTGTGTGTGTGTGTGTGTGTGTGTGTGTGTGTGTGTGTAGGCACAGATAGATACATACATGATTATATTGTTTACAAAATACCAAAGGCAACAGCAGCCCCCATGCAACAAGATACACTGGGCATTCATGTTTTTGTTCCTGTAATTTAAACCTGTAGGGACGATAACTCCGCCCAACTGGAACACCATGGGATTTAAAACGAGCACGCCTTCAATCATGGCCTCTTCTCAGAAGCATAATAAGGCTTCAGGATCCGATAGAAAAAGATTGGAGGACGTAGCAGGGAGAAAAAAAAAAAAAACCCCACCTCAAAACTGAGACTGAGACTACACATCCCAGCAGCCTCTCTGGTGTCCTAAGCAGTCTTTTTCTGTTTAGGAAGTCTTTTTTGTTATAAAACCTGCATTTTTCCCCTAAAACTTCCAGAAAAAAATCCAAAAACAAAAAATTTCTGCTTTGTCACTAAAATATTTAACCTTGGCCAGCAACAGGCCAAGTACAGCAGCCAATTGTAACTGGGCTTCCAATAAATATGAGATAAATGCGTCATGTATTATATAAGTACTACATATGCTTGCTATATGTCCCTTCCAGTCATTAAGCATAGAATATAGGAATGGGTGGATATATTCCATTTCCTCTATGGCAGTATCCTAGCATTAAGGCCAAATATTAGCTGGCTCTCACTACCTGTTTAGGCGTTCTTTGCAGTTTCCTGCTTTTTGCCATCACACCCAAAATGTGAAGAAGAGCGAGAAGAGGAACGTCTAGGTTAGGGAGGAAAATAAACTTGCAGAATCACCTACGAGTTTGTTACTCCACTTTGTTTTTTTGTATTTACAGTATGAAGCACAGCTAGGCAAAGCATTTTCTAGATGTTCATTATTTATTCTTTGGCGAGAACAAACTGGCAGCCATGTCCTTACTTGGAAGAATACGACTGATTGGTTTGTGCCAAGGTCAGAAAACAAAAATCAATCATTCCGACAGGAAGAAATTCATCTAAATTGAATCATGCATTTAGTGGCAGTTTCTCCCTGAAGCAAAGGGGCTTCAGCAAAATGACCCTGACATCAGATCTGCTAAAACATTTCATGGTAGATAAACCCCCCCCACAGCTGAGGAAATAATGAAGGGTATAAATATTAAAGCATGGGACCCAATTTATCATCTCACCAGCTGAAGCAAAGTCTAACGTGATCATCTGATGCCAAACCAGAGGTTATTGATTGAAAGATGTAACTGCAGCCAGGAACAATGTCTCTACTATGAGAATGTTCAAAAAGATTAAAAACAACTTCTTCACATAAGACGTTGTCATTTATTAGTCCCCATGCGGGCTACGGGGAGACCCCTGAATCCCTTATTTGCCCTGCATGCTGTCGTGACCTTTACACACACACACACACACACACACACACAAACAGTTACAAACAAACAAATACACATGCTCACACCTTTTAACTCAGTGCGATCAATACTGAGGGTCCCAAGCTGTTTAAACAAATAATGACCGCTCAGCAGAGAGGGCTGATCAGTCGATAAATCGATGACCCCCACAGAGTCGCCAGGGTTCGGGTGAAAAGACACAACAGAAGTGAAACTGCAGATTGGGCAGTCCGATAAACTGAAGTTGTTAAAGCTGAAACCCCCCAAAAAACAAACAAACAAACAAAGAGATAATCAAACTGTTTCCGTTTCATCATCCTTTTGTCACAAAGTGGACTTGCAGCTTTGAAGAAATCTGCATAATCAAATGCTCATTTTCTGCTGTAAACTGGAATATTTCATTTTCTCTCTGCAGCAAAGACCTCGCATTGCAGTTACTGTTCAATCGCATTGCTTCGGCTTCCCACTTAAATGTTTTTGACAGCTCATCAGTCCCAGAAATATCTAAATCCACATTATTATTTGGACAAGTTAACCATTGTCTGGTCTCATCTCATGTGGAGTAGCTTTCCAATGAAAAATTGTGAATACAAGGCTAACAAACAGACTTTAATACAGTGCTTGTGTTATCTGTTAAAGCGCATTGCAAAATCCCTTGAAACCTTAGTTATTCCTTTGTTATTAATCAGACTCACTGCCATGTGATTTTTGGAGAATATTTTGGAAAGGGTGACAGACAAGACAAACAGATCATAGCATGTTGTTAGGACACAGACACATGGGTTAACATACAGACAGACAAACCCTTAAGTGTGGGTTACACAAGACAGACCCGCTGGACACCGGTATATCGTGTATTAATAAATAATACTGTAACCCAGATTCTCCCTGTTAGTCTGCCAAACATTCACACCTGCATGCTTTGTAAGACAGCACAGCCATCAGAATCGCCCTGTGGTTTTGGTTCTATGGAGTACTGATGCATTTCTGTGGATATGACATTAAGCACACCCTTCTGTCTGGTTAATCAGAATGTTCAGACTCCAGACTCCCACCACAGACTTTGATGGAAATGAGAAACTCATAGTAGTGCAGTCCATGATGGCTTGATCCACATATGTTCAGCCTCTAACTCCTTCTTTTGGCTGCTGTCCCAAAGTCCTGCAAAGATTCAGCCTAAAACCAGCCTCTAGGAACACCTGGAGCCCAGCTTCCCCACCACTAAGTTCAAATTACTATAAATCTGAACAAGACTTACAGTTGACCTGCAGTCACATTATGGGCTACAACAGTCGGGACTGAAGCCCAGATTTCTGACACCAAGAGGTGCCGAGGGTTCGTCATTCAAAATCACGTTTTCTCGATGTCGTAGTCTTCCCCACCTGTTGTTGCGGCTGGATGTGTGGCAATTGTTGGCGCTGGCCTTGCAGCGTCCAGTCATTTGCTCCAGGAGGCGGGCCAGGCGGGTACAGCCGCTCTGCCCCTGTTGGTAGCAGCACAGGGATTCCATGCAGCTGAGGTTCTGCACCTGGGAGGCTGGTAGAGACTGGAGGGAAGGCAAAAAGTGGAAGAAGCGCAGAAACAGAGGGAGAGAAAGTGAATAAAACAAAAATGAAAAGGTGGCACAGAATGAAATCACAGAAAATTAAGGAGAGAAAAAACAAGATTTGAGTGGAGAAAGAGAAAAAAAAACAAAGAAAGATCAAAACCAAAACAATTCAGGGTGACTGGTATGAAAAGAGTGACTGGAGGATGATGTTTTGCATGCTGTCACGGCAACAGTGATGTACAAGGGAAAACATTCAAAACATGCTACATCAGGGATTGAAATGTGGTAAATAAATACTTAAAAACAAAACAAAATCCTATGAGAAAAAAACATATGTTTGTAGTTAAACTTAAGAATGATCTGCTGTATAATTTTTGGGCAACATTAAACCAGATCAAGTGTCTTCGGCCTTGTGCCAAAACTAAATATCAAATGCTAAATACATAAAGTTCCTGCAGTGGTTCTATTCTAGGTTCCTGATAGTAGCTGGGCATTACACAAGATAGGCTGTGTAGCATCTGCAGCAAATGAAGACCACCCAAAGCTATTCTTTTCCTCCTTGTGCACCTCAGCAGAGGATTTTTGTTCACAGAGCAGAAGCTGTGGCATTAGACTACGACTACAAAACAAACCTTCAAGGAAAGATGACTTTTTGTTCCAGAGCCTCGAAAACTCAACGCAGGTCTTTCTGCTAGGCTGTCGCATCTGTGATGGATCACTTAGCATCAACATAAACATTTAACATAAACTAACCATAAGCCCATTTTCTCTACTTCCTTATGCTCAGGCTGGCTCTCTATTAAGTGGACTTTTTTTGCAAGACTACATGTTTTGGGATTATTTAAAAAACAAACAAACAAAACTTTTTTTAAAACTAGATTGCTCAGTGAGCCAGTGGTGCACTCGTAGATAAAGCTAAATTAAATGAGAAACCTGTCTGCTGACCTAAGGAAGCACCTGGCAGTAGGTGATGCAGTAGAGACAACGAAGAAAAAGTGACAGTGGTGTAGAGTTGCACTTATTCAGCTGGCATTGTGTTCCCTACTACTACCTCTCAAGTGTAGGTCCCATTTATTACTGTGTATTACATGAACATAATTCATAAATCTACTATGCTAATAGTATTGAGGAAAAAAGGCTTTGATTGTTTTGAAGGTCCAGTAACACACAGGTACAGTTTGATACTGAGATATCGCCAAAGTTGGCTTTTGTACAAAACGGTTTCTAAACGCGATCATTTCACGATGTCCCCTCTAATGTGGTAATGCTGACAGTCATTTGTGTCTGGGTAAGTGACCCGTGGATTCCAGTGTGCTTTCACTTATGGATGTTGTGCTTTTCTGCAGCTGAAACTGGAGACATGCTAGGCATGAATCCAAACTTCTGCTTCCTCGCTGGAGACAGCAAAACAAAGACAGGTCACGGTGAATATGAATTACTCTGACACTGTCAGGTGCTCCAAGGTTATACTATAAATGTCTGGTTTTTAGACTCAGGTTCTATTGTACAGCATTTTCTCTATTGAAAAAAAGAAAAGAAAAGCTGGGGCTGTTGAAAACAGGAAAAGAAGCACAACCACAGCTGTAGCTATGAACATTACACACCCTATTCTACTGATTATCTGTTGGAGAAATATCCTTTCTAAGTAGACAGCACCATATGAGTCTGTCTTTAGATTAACTAACAATAATGATTTTGCTTACTCAAACAAATGAACCCCTGCATCAACCTGTGGAGAACCAATGAGTCAACACAGAGCCTGTAAATACAAAGAGCCAAATTCAGCACTGCAGTGTTTTCAACCAACTCTTGGGTTTTATTATTTATTTTTTAACCTCTAAAGAAAGAGGCAGTCACATAATTCAGAGATTAAAAGAAGACCAGACTGTAAGATTAATAATTCTCATGTAAACCTTTTGAAAAATGAATGCTAGAGCTGAAGGCTTTGCCATTAAAATAGCCAAGGCCTCAGTGACAGCTGTATGGTTGACGTCATCCTCTGGCTGACTTACCACAATATTAATTACAGCTTTCAACTACGTTCTTGCTTTTTGTCCTGTTACTGAGCACAGCATTTTGCTGCTTTAAAGAGAAACAAGAAAGTGCACGTCAATCTGCGTGATAGAATAATCTTGTTTTCTAGCACTCACAAAAATAACTCACAGAAACAAAAACTATTAAATTATGGAACTAATGGGGAAAAAAGATATTTAAAGTCATAATTGAAAAGGAAGTAAAGGTGATGTAAAACCCTTACAAGCAAGCAAAGATATATCACTGCGTATGAGATGAAAACATGGCAAAGACAAAGTCAGCATGCCAACAGCATTCTCTCTGCGTCTAAACTCTGAACCCATACCTGATCAGAAACCAGTGAGGGGTGAATTGAGACCGGGTTGGGAAAAGGATGAGTAAAATAAATCATGGTTGGGTAAGGGGAGGACAGGGTCAGTCGCATCTGGCCAGGGAAGGACTGTGTTATTCACTGACAGGTAAGGGAAGGATGAAGTTAATTGTGACTGGCTGGGAAAGCATGGGGTCACTCATATACAACGTGGGACAGACACAAAGACAAACAGGAATCTTATTTGAGTAACGAGTTAAAAGGCTGTGTGGGAGCAGCTGTGACAAACAGTTATGGGTTAATGATCAAGGGCTGCAGGTTGTGCAACTGAGTGCAGCTATGAAAGGGTGCACAGGGTTGGTTGGTCTTCGGGTGAAGACGATGCCCAGGCAGTGATTGTACAAGGAGGGGGGCAAATGGAAGTGAAGTACATGTACGGTACTACCTAAGGGAGCATGAGTCTGGGCTGGGGGCAGCAGGGGGAGGATAAGCAGCTAGCAGGTGCCAATTGTCCTCCCCTGGGCTCCGCTGGGCTTTAACAGGGTCATATTCTGGGCCGACTGAACCCTCACCCTCTTCCATCTGAAGGACACAAGATGCTTACAGTGAGCCCCACTAGCTAGTCATACAGTCAACCTTGCGGACGGTTGGCTGAACACTAAAAAAGCAAACCAGGTGCACTGCAAAACACATCCTTCTTAGCAGTTTCATCTCATGTTCAATCTTTAGGTGTTTATTGAAACAAAACGATTTGGATGATTGGATCAAATAATTGCTACCTTTTATTAATTGTGCAATTTTTCTAAATGTATCAAATATTTGTTCTTATTTTGATTTACATGCAGATCAGCTTTTGTCTCGTACAGCTGGAAAACAATTTGAGGTACAGTGGATATGTTTTCCAGTGCTGCTTATTTACTAACTGGAGGATTCATTAGTCAGCAAGCAAGCGATCATTTGGTCAAGAGCCAGTCCAGGCTGCACTATAGGGGGCCAGTTAATTGGGGGAATTTCTGACCTTCACTCTACAGTGTACTCGAATACATTTCTTCATACAGAGAGGCCAAATCAACGCCGCTCCTTCTTAAAGCCCTTCACAAGTGACCTTCTCGACAAAGCAGAAGAGCTGACAAGTCCAGCTGCTTCCTGCTTTTTGCTCAAAGTCCCCTGCTGCACATTTAAATCACAATTTAATTAGGACTGCGAGATAATCAGAAATCACTAGTTGAGAATAAGTGAAATAAGTCTTTTAGAAAATGTAAAGGGCTTTGATGAGGGCACTAGTGGAGGGCTTCATTTCCTACAAAAGTTAAAGACAACTAAGCACAGTGGCTAGACGGCCAGTGCGCTCAAAAACGGCCGTGAAACTAGGCAACAAATGAGCAGAAAGAAGCTTCATTCATATGACAAGCATCTTGAGGGAAACAGAGATAGAAGCACATCTATTAGAATCCAAAGCAATTAACCTGCTGCTGAATCTATCAGAGCTGCAGAGTAGGCAAACAACAGTAAACCCTAGAGAGCCCTCTGGGTTCTTTTACGATTACCTCTATCTAATCTAATTAAGAAAAAAAAAGGAAACTGAATAGTTCCAGAATTATCTCAGCAGAGCTGAACATACTGCATTATGCAGCACATTAACATGAATATACCATTAAGATTTTGAACGCAGAAAATCAACAAATCGCTCAGACTGAGTGAATCTGTTTTGCATAATGTGCTCTGTACCCTCACCTGTGCTCTCCAAATCAATAGCTGGTTTCTGCTCATTTAGTTTCTGAGATGAGACCAGCTTTATCTACATACAAGCAGCCCGAAACACATTCAGACGGTAGTTTATTAGGTACGCCTAGCTAAAACTTGTAACGAGAGAGGCAATAAACCCTACTGTCATAGAGGGCACATTTAGTTGCTGTTACAACAGTTTCAGATAACTGATTCAACTTTACTGTAACTTACAGGCTTTTTGTCAGTGAGGACAAAAAGGAACTCGCAACCCAATCTATCTGCCTCACTAACTACATCCTGCAGATTCAGTTTACTTTGATACTGTATAAACCAGCGACTAAGTGTGCTATAAACTAGCATGAACAGTAAATCCAGCCCACTGTTTTTATAAGTGACATTTCCTCCCACCCACCTTGGAACCATACAAATTAGCAAGCTATAAAAACATGCAGAAGCAAAAAAAATTCAATGATCCTTGCTCATAACAAAAGTAATAATAGCAAAACTAAATATGACCTCTGTATCAACCAAAGATTTGCTCACCTTGGACAGTTAAAAAGAATAAAAAACTCCCCATTTGCTCATGTTCACTCATTAAGAGAGAACCACCCTAAATTTGGCTCTTTGGCCTTTGTGTTATCAAAGAGAGCTTATGCTATTGTTAGCATTTTCCTTACAGGTTTTTATCGTGACATCAACTACGAAAGAGCAAGGTCTTCAATTCAATCAATGAAAAATACGTGAGACAACACAGGGTTTCATTCATAGCAACATGCTGCTGTACAAAACAGTCCAAACCAGTTCAAGAGTCTGTCATGCAGCTGTGGGAGTGGCAGTCTTGCCCTGAGGATCTGCCTAAAACCATGCAGGTGGATAACGCTGAGCTAAGGAGGGCGTTTCAGTGTCCTAGATTGAGTTGTTTTAGTTGAGCATACATCAAGATAGGTGACCATGCCATATAGATAAAAGTAGTGGATTGATGGGCTGCACCATGCATCTGATTCATGTGTCACTTTAACATGTGAGGGGCATTCCAGATTGTGCTCATGTGACAAGACCACTTGCTGATGGTCAAGAGGTAGGTTTGACCAGCTGCAGCGATAAAGAATGACGATCAGAGCCGCCTCCCCAACACATTTCCCCTTACGTTATGAGCGCTGAGGGAAAGAGTCAAGAGTCTATGAGCCCTCACAGGTGATTCGGCATTCATTCGTTCTCTCCCCCATTCATTTATCCATTTGTACATGCAGCGGGTGGTGGGGTAATGACAGTGGCATTCTGTGACAGGCAGGAGTGGAAAGCGGTCTCAGAACACATTCTCTAAATCAGTCTCTCACTGAAAATGCAACACATGCAGCGGCTGAAGTGCTTGAACCCGATTCTTCGACATGATCTCCAACCACACATTTATATCTTCTCTATATCCCAGTCACAGAGAATGCTGATTGGCTTGTGCAGGGCATGCAGTTACAGGCATGAAACAAAGGCTCCTACTCTAAAACTGACAGTACACAACGCTGCAGTTGTGGTACTGCCAGTGTTAGAAAAATGACCAAATAAAGTTGAGACCTGGGAAAAAGAACATTTGAGTTTTGCATGAATGATCTTACACAGGAGTGCTTATTCCATAAAGCAATACTTCTACTTTCTACGGACTTTTTGCAGTGTGCTGTGTACAGGATTTTAACTACTACGCTGTGTATTTTTGGCCAAACAGAATTAATGTGAAGAGAGGTGCACAGCATGCTTTGATTTCACTGTCAGGCCACGCCACATTATCAAAGAACAGCTCCCTAAAAAGGGTAAGAATTGATATGTTTTCAATTACAAAAGCAGGGCAGCAACTCTGTGTTAATAGCTGACAAATCATAGAAATATAGATTTATAAGTACAGATGGATCACAATACAAGTACACACACAGTACAAGAATATTGCATTTGAATAAGGCACTCCTTATAATATTCTGAATTTTGTTTTGGGTGTATTTTAAGTCCACGGCTGAGTCACTCAATTCCTCTACCTAATTTTGCCCAGCTGGCTCTTGGCTCTGGACAAAGGCTGCAGAGCGATGAAGTCATCACCTATCGCCACACGGTTGGAATACATCTACACCAGGAGAGTGCACACAGAGGATAGGATGAAGACACACAGAAAGGTTAAAAGTCAAAGTCTCTCTCTCTCTCACAGACACACACACTACCACAAACCCACTCGCAGAATCGCACACACAGACAAAACAGGACAAAGGTTAGAGCAGAAAATACAAACTCCATGTAGGACAAATTTCAAAGGAGAAGGGTCTAAACTAAAACATAAACAATCTCCAGCTGGACAAATCAATACAGCAACAGTGTGGGTCCTCTGAAAGGTGACCATGCACAGTGTGGAGCTGGTCTGCGTGTCTGTGATCAAAGGCGACTCATGCAATGTGTGTATAAACACCAAGTCCTTCTTGTGCTGCCAAGTTGATTACTTGTGACCACATAGGCTCGTTTAAACAACACGATGGGCAGAACCTTTTCTCCTCCCTGCCTCTGTCACATTTTAACTTTCAGTGGCATTTTAGTTTATTTCTTCCCTCCAGGCTCTTTTCAAATAGCAGGAAATATAATTTCCCTTTGTGTGAAACAAGTAGGAATATGTATTAAATCTAACGCTTGACACACAAGTTTAACTACTGGAAAGCATTCGGCCCTTTTGCCAATTTTTTCATTCTGAGCCTGCAGGAAACCCCAAACCCACAGAAACTTTTTTTAGACTTGTTTACATAGATCTGGTAATAAACTAACAATATCTGACTTATTCTCAAAGTCTGTTAACTACTTAAGAATACTGTCATCTCTCATTGGCTTTCACCCTTTTTAAAACGATTTCAATGTAAGTGAAAACAGAGAAGTGGGTGAAGTATTCTCAGTAACTACAGTAGAGTCCAAACAGCAAGTAGAACAAAAGAGCACTTAGGCAGCTGCTGTGAACCAGAGAAAGTACAGAGTTAGGCCAGCACTGGCTCACAGGCAACAACCTATAAATGTCTTACCATCTCACATTCATACGTTCCACTTTTTTTTTTTTTCTTTTTTATAATACTGCTCCTGCACCTCCTCCCCTCATTACCTGACTCTTCTGAGTGCTGGTGGGCTGCAGGTGTCTGTACAAGACCTTCTTCAACACATCAGGAAAGAGGCAAGTTATGACGATGATGATAATGGCAAACCAGGCTGAACCGCTGGACAGCAGCTGCACAAAGACGAAGTACATGTCCTGGGTGTGCAGGAATGGCCTGAGGGGGCAAGGGGAGAGGAAACAATGTCTATTTTATGCTTAGAAAACATCTACAAGCCAGTTTGTCCAAAAGCAACAGTAACATTTGGTTAGCCTTACAAAAAAAAAAAAAAAAAAAAAAAAGAATCATACAAAACAGCAACAGAGATGGGCAGCCAGCCTCAACTCTGCCCTGTTCACCATAAATTCAGGTTTTACTGGCAGTTGGAAGTCATGCTCTTAAAGTAATTTCATTATTTCCTGACACCAGAGTTTAATGACTGGTGCAGATGTCAGACTACAAATATCCATTATGGTCCAATATTATCAGCATGGCTCCTGCAAGTCTGTGAGTTCACTGGCCTGTGTAACGTGGTCGAGACTGATCTGTTCAACTCAGCAGACTACCAGAAAAAACAAAAAAAAAAGCAGTCGTGTGAGGTAGGGCTGGGCCATATCATACCGTTCACGGTAACACCGGTATAATGTTGGGCTACGACAAGAAAATTAAATATCGCGATAGAATATGGGTAAAATGCGCATGCGCAGTGCCTTTGTTTTCATACGCACATGGTGAAAAAGGCACGGCGGCGACGGAGAATGAGAAGGGCGAAAGCGGATCGTTGAATGAAACGGATGAACCAGAACTGGTTTGTAAAAATGCTGCAACTTCAGTGGTGTGGAACTGGTTTAGCTTTCGTCCGTCAGATACACAACAAAGCACTATTTTTGGTAGAGCATGCTAGCGGGCCGTCGTTATTACCGTGTTTTTGGAAAATACGGCACACTTAAAATCAATCCTTTGATTTTTCTGAAAATCGACAGTGCCCCTTATAATCCCGTGTGCCTTATGTATGAATTCTGGTTGTGTTTACTGACCTCGAAACGATTTTATGTGTACACGGCGCTCGAAAATCTGTCAAATGTTTTAGTACGACTTTGCTAAGCTACGAACCCGCACCGCTTGATGGATTGTCGGAGCATTACGGCTATCGTAGGCAGGCGCCTCGCGGAGTGATACGTACTGTGCTTCAACATAATATTACCGTATTGTGTGTGTATAACCTCTTTTTAAGTTTTGTGGATATTATACATGGTTATGCTGAGGATATGTCGGCCAATTTCCACTGGAAATGCCTTTTGGTTAAACTGTCAGCAAGGAATTTGCATTTGCACTGTTAAATTTTTATATAACTTTAATGCACATAAAAACAGCTGCTTGTTTAAGTGAAAATACATTGATGGGTTTTTTTGCACTAATAAAGTTGTGGAGTTGTAAAGTATTTTGTCTAGTGTCATTATATCGTCAGTTATATCGTTATCGCAAATTTTCAAATCTATATCGTGATAAATATTTTTGGTCATATCGCCCTGCTCTAGTGTGAGGTATAGTTTGACATCAGGGCTGGGCAATAAAACACTAAAATAGTCATTATGAAGTAATTTTTCCCTCAATAGAAATATGAGACAATGCTCAATATAAAGCCGATAGAACTCACTACATCCATGTTTTCACAGACAATACGAGAGGCCAGTGAGAATAGTACCCTGTCAAACCAATCATGGGGACGGACATGGTTGGAACACTGACATCAGTGTAGGAGGAGCCGCTGGCAGCAGCACATGTGCTAATGTTTGTGCTACTGCAGCGTTAGGGTTGTAACGGAAACTCGAGGGGCAGCGTTACTGAACATGACAGCCATAAAAGGACAAGCTTATTATTCAAAAGAAGAGTCTGAGGACTTTGCTAAAGCCTGATAAAGAAGCAGAGCAACACACATTGCAAAATGAGTTGAAAGCACGTTTCCACATAAATGCCACATAAGCACCTGAAGCAAGGACATCCTTACACCATGCACAGCTAGCTGTTTACCTGCACAATGCAATACCTTACTGTAATCTGTATGATGCAAGTAAGCACAGTTGAAAATGTTGATTGAAGCTGCTGGTTCAACTAGCTGTAAACATTTCTCTCAGACAGCACTGTCCCAGCTACACAGGAGTGTAGAGAGATCTGCAAAGCTATCATACTTCACCACCTGATCGGATTTGTGGTCAAATACAATGCATTTCAATGAGCCAGTCCTGTGCTTCTTGTGCTTTCTCAAACCGTTTCTATTTATATTTTAGAAAAACTTGACAGTTAGGCCTGCGACAGGCTGACGACCTACACGTGGTGAACCCCATCTCTCGCACTATGGGAGCTAGAATAGCTCCCAGTCCCGCCCCCGCAACCCTGAATTGGATAAGTGAAAGGATGGATGGATGGATGGATGGATTGTTGTCTTGAAGCATTAGCACACCACAATTGTGTGAATATATCACTTTAGTTTATGTTCTCTTTTTTATATTTGAAAGATTCCTGAATTTTTACTGATGATATATACAGAAAGCTTTGTTTATTTATGGTGTTGTTCCCCCCAAAAACTGTTTGAATCTATATAAACCATCTTATTGGTCAGAATTAATATTTTAGATGACTGTAGACACACAGAATTACAGATCTGTATATTGTTCTATTTTTCTGTGTATTGTACATTTGTCATGCTCAGCTTCTAACAGAAAATATTTAAATGTTTAATATATATGAGAAAAAAACCTGAAAAAAAAGTGGTAAGAGCTTTTTTTTTTTTTTTTTGTTCCTGTTGCCCAGACCTATTTGAGATAAACATACAGCACACAGGAAGTAACTGAGTTTAAAAGCATCACTTTCCAGAAGCAAAAAGAACTTGCCAAGAAGGTGTTCTTACCAGATGATGCCTCCATAGAAGAGAGAGAAGATGAAATAGAAGGCAATTGAGCCCCATGTCACAAAATGGTTCATCCACGTCCAAAAATGAGTCTCTAATGCAAGCTGACGTTACACACATACAGGAGGGGGAGGAAAAGAAAGATGGGTGTAAAACATGGATCCAGGGACAGGCAGTGCATCAATAAACTACAGCAATCTTCCTCCGTGCTATAAAGAGAGACCTTGAGGTGACACTGATAAATTATCTTCTCGAATTAATGGCCACTGACATCATCCTCATCACAACATCTTTCAACATATTTCATTAACGAGACTTTGACAATACAAATGTCTCCTTTTGAAACTGCATGTGTTTCTCAGCTTTCTGCTATGTAAACAGCAGCCATCATCCTTAGAGGGCATTACATGAGAAACTCAAAAATAAATTGCTGATGTACTTCAGTGTCAGCTTGTCAACTTATTATAAATTCCTACATGTAAGCAAAACTCCAGCTAAGCTGAAGATGTGTCACTGGATACTTCTTTCCCAGCCCTTGTTTACACTCACTGAATAACTTGGCTTCCTGCTGCTTTGTTCTCAGCAGGTGGCATACATACAAATCTGACTGGGAGAGTGCCTGCTATTATATGAACCCACCACTCATTACTCTGAAAGCTTCAAATGTAACCATGAGTGTCGTAAACATTACAAAACGTTCCAAACACAACTGCTTCTTCAGAAAGAGTACAGTGGTTTGTTGATAGGGTATAATATTTGATATCATTTACCTTTAACGTGACAGTGATGACCATGACAGTAAAGACCAGTGTTCCAAATGTCCAGTTCCCAAACATCTACAGAAACAGACATACAAGTACTTCAGTTAATAATAATAAACAGCATTACAATGTAGTTTGGCACTTCCTGAAAATGATTTCATGAGGAGGGGAAAACAGAAGCTTTGCATAAATGTACAGACTGTGTGTTCGCATCTGTATAAGGGACGTCGTTACCCTACTGCTCTTGTTCCCTTGGATCACTGACAAGCTTTAGTCTACACATGTGGTGCAAAGAGAGACAAGTTCACTATGACTGTAGCCTTGGTTAACAAGTTGTTTTGGCATCACGGTGCCCAAAATAAGACCTCGGCCTCCAACTGTGTGAGTACCATCAGTAGCTCCACTGTTCTACTTATAGGTTGAGAGCTGTGGGAGACATTGTTTTGTTGCCAGCCAATTCAGGACCCTGCTGGAGTCTGAACATTGAGGGCTAATAGTGACACACAGGGGAGTAAACACCATTTCTGGACCTGTGATAGGAATACAGTTCAAGTTTGTGCTCGTTACTTTCAGAATTATGATTTAAACTAAAATCTTTTACAAACTCGGTCCCCTAACTGATATCTACCTACTTATAGAAAAATCTGACTAGATGTTAGTGAAGATGGTTTCTGCCTATGCAGCTACGCTTTGAAAAAGGCAGAAATTCTATTCTATTCTAATGGTCATCAAACTCAAAATATAATATATTGTAAAATACTGTATATACTCAAAAATCGCCATTAAGGGTACAGGAGAGGTAGGAAATGATTAAACCAAGCCATGTAACTCTACTATGAGTTGATTCAGCATATTTCAAGACACCACTAATGTAAATGCTATAGACTAGCCACTTAAATTCATGCTCTTGAATAGCATCATTACTAATAATTTAATATTTCACTTCAAAGAAAATCTTTCTGGGAGTTCTCTCATTAGCTCCCTAAGAAGACATGCATTCATCTGTAGAGCAGACTCTTACCAGCTGCCTGTTAGCTCGCAAGATCTGAAGACATGCACAGCATGAAGGCAAAAGGGAAAAGGCGTAATCAACAAAGGACAGAAGAAAAAGACAACCAAGAGAGTGCAGTAAAAGTGAGTGCTTTCGGAAATACCAAACTTCAGAAAGAAAGAAAGATGATGAGATATGCAGCAGGACAGAAAAGGGAAGATTTGTTATGCTCTTAAACAAAAAGAACGACAAAGAGACAGATAAGAAAAGTGCAAGATGAAGGGAAGACGTGAGTGCAAAAATACCAGCGGGTAAACAGTCCCGTTAATGTCCGCAACACAACAAGATGCAATCACAAACGGTTACTCTATAGTATCAGTTTGCTACTTTTCCCTTTTTTGCTCTGAACTAACATTTGACTGATATCACCATCATAGAGCATGAAAACACATACCTGTCCATTGCCCATAAGTGTGGTGTCCTCTCCCATTAGTATGTAGGATCCAAAGAAGAAGACAAAGGCGTGACAGAAACCCAACACAGTCCAGTACAAGAAGGTCCGGAAAGAGAGCAGAGAGTTCTTGCTAATATCCCTGCAGAAAATAAATAAATAAAAAGTTTTTTCCTTAAGAGCATTCATAGGATCCAAGCAAAGTTGCATGTTTCACTGTGATGAATAAATAAATACATTGCAATTTAGCGGTTCTGAAAAATAAAATGATTTATGTAACAAGCAGCATCTAGATGCTAACAGCCAATTTAAAAACATTACATAAAATTCCAATTAACACACAAAAAAAGAAACAGTGGGCCAACTGTGTACGTAGATGATGACATAACAGAAAACAATATACAAAGTAGTGTTCACCTAGAGATGACATATAAGCTCACCTGTACAGGCCAGGTTTGTTCTGCAATACATGCGGATGGACCAGCTGTTCAAACAGACTGTACACAAGGATTGGCAGCGAGGTGAAGCAGATGTTGTACAGTGTCAGATAAACACTGTCGTACAGAGTCTAGGTTGGACAGAGACAGCATTTCACTCATCAATGACCCATTAACAAGAACTGATATCCACAACTCGTTCAACAGACCTTAAAGATATCAGGGAGAGAGGCGGAGCAGAGTTGGAGCAAAGCGGAAAAACAAATGAGTAGGAACACACACACTGTACTAGAAGATGAGGCAAGAGGATTATAATATGGCCTCCCAGTAAAAACTATAGTGTTACATGGTTAATAATATTTTGGGACTGGCTTCCAAAACCATGCTACATAAATAATTGAAAAGACAGAAATTCAATAGACTTCTGATTCTTAATTTTAAAGCCTATAAATAATAAGATCCATTTTCGTTTTTATTTAACACAGATTCACTACAAGAGACATCGAAAAAGAAAAAAATCTATAAAAATGCACTCAATCTGATACCTAATAAGATACGCTGGTAAAGCGGAGCACAAAATTAGGACCAAAACACCACTGACATTAAAAAGACAAAGATACAGAGAGTGTGAGACTTACTTGTTGTGAAAACAAACAGAAGAACTGGTATAAAAACTGCGGCGTGATAAAACACACATTCTAGAAAAGACAGAGTGAAGGAAAGAAACATTAAAAATATTGCAGTGACAGGAGACACAACTGAACACGCTCTTAGTTATGCTACGGTCACACTAGGGGAAACAGTGGTCGGAGGCCATGGCACAAGCTAAATTATTGTGACTGTGCAGTGAACCTGTAGTCCCGTTGCCTTTGAGATGGTGTCTTTGAAGATGGGAACCAAGTCAGTGAGTAATTGTATCACGACAATGATAAAATGACAATAAAAGAGTCAGTCTGTTATCTGAATGGGGTTAAGTTGGCAATTACGTGCAATTACACAGCAAATAACTGGGATAAATTAGCAAAAATTGGAAATCTGTTGCCATCTATAAACACAGAATTCACATTTAGAGAACAACCAAATCCTGAACAGAAATGTAGAAGTTCTCCACAGATAAGTGATTTGTTATTTGAAAATGTAAAAACAGGCCCTGTGCAAACTTGTTTCAGATAGGAAAATAACCAGAATACACCCATTTGGCAACCAATTAGGCGGAGTCTTCTTTTGCAAAGAGATGCATCACAGACCAGCTGCACTCAGACTGAGACTGAATTTGTGAGCATTTATAAATTACACAGCAATATTTTGCAAACCTTCACCAATCTGAGAATGATTGCAGAGCACCACTGTTTGGAGCTGGGTTGACTCCCACCAGGCAACCTGTGCAATTCCTTTTTGACTTAAAGGAGTTACTGCAAATACATGCAATTTTTTGCTAAATTAAAAACAAAACAAAAACAAAACAAATAAAAAGACACCGATTTCTCTTAGTCACAGGGAATGTGTCTTGTATTTTCATTCTAGTGGGACTGAACGATTACAGCGGAAGTAGAAAGTCTCTTTCTAGATCTTACCTTGTAGAAAAAGTACTGTACAAGAGTAGCTATTCGAATGTAGTAGAAGTGCCCGTGGACCAGCAGGAGTTTGGCCAGGAACTTGAACCTGGCAATTGCATAGTCGCTGTTTCTCACGGCCTGACGACCCTCCTTCCCCATGATACCTGGAGACACAGACATACTGGAGATCACACTGCAGAACACTAATACCATGTCATGTGAGACAATACAGTCTGTATGTACGTGAGCTAAGTGTTTACCTATGCCCACATGGGCTTCCTGTATCATACTGACATCATTGGCTCCATCCCCAATAGCTAAGGTGATGGGTTTTTCTGGAGATGTCTTTAAAAGACGCACAACCTAGACATAACAAAGTAACAATGGCATCACAGGTGAGCTTCAGAAAATTTGCAGAGACAAAAAACAAACAAACATAAAAAAAACCCCCAAAAAAACAACAACAAAGGAACCCCATCCACCCACAAACAATTAAAAATGCTTACAAGACAACAATACCTTAGCTTTCTGCAGTGGGGCCATGCGACAGCACAGCACAGCTGAACAGTTTTTACACACTTCCATAAAGAGCTTCTCGTGTTCCCTCAATGCTAAAGACAGACTAGCTCCATCTACAACCAATCCATGCTGTATGACATGGTCCTCCCTTAACCTGCGAACAGACAGAGAGAAAGTAAAAAAAAAAAAGAACACAATATGAGGTCAGGGGGATATATATACACACACAAAATTAAACAACATGTATGCTGTCAGATAACATCATTACTTTCAGCAGAATCACACCTACCTCCTGGACAGTATGCGGAGCTGCTCAGCACACTCGTTATCAGAGTGCTGCTGCAGGAGCTCCAGGATGTTCATGGTTCTGTGGAAGTGGCCACAGGACAGGCTTACACTGACTGCCGTCTCATGTTTGTCCCCTGTCAGCACCCATACTTTGATTCCTGCGAGTCGCAAAGCCTCAATGGTCTCCTGGACCTTGTCCTGAAGTCTAGGGATACAAGAAAGAGAGAAAATAAACACTTTGGTCTCCAAGGTAACGCAGACAAAGTGTGGGTAACTTGATGGAACTGATCAAACTAAGCTTCATAATTTAACACATCTACTGAAGGGTTAGACAGAACTGGTGAGCAGAGGGTGACTGACTACTTTGTGTTTTTCGCTGCAGTTATTTTTCAAAAGATTCAAAGACAGTTGATCTGATCTAATATTTTTATGCCAATCGGCATTACATTTTTCATGTTACACAGATGTTGGAGGAAACCCTTCATCTCATCTTCCATACCAGAGGAGATTCTTTGACCGTGAACATCCGTGCCCCGGGAGGATCTCATTTCAGATACAGAAGCAGAGCAGTGGGAAAAAGGGAGAGCGAGCAAAAAGATAAACAAAGTGGGAGACGCAAGAGGCTTATGTGAGGAGCAGATGGCAAGCGGCTGCAAACACACATCAACATTCATTTCCAGAGAGGCTCGGTGAGGTGACGTCTTCTTCTCCCTGCTGACTATTTATTGTCTGTTAAAAATCTTCCCACTGTGCCGTTTTGCCTGTGTGTTTCTTCAGTTTTGAATTTTTTCTCTTTTTTTTGGGGGGGGGGGGGGGGTGAGAAGCCCATGACAAAAAAAGCCTAAGACAGCAACAACAAAACACAAGCAGATTTGATCCACTGTGGATGATGTCCATTTCTCAAAACTTACTTTTTTTTTTTTTCTTGCAATGTGTGAATTACAGAAATAAATTCCGAGTTTTGTTGTCAGTAGTTGGGCGGTACAGTGGTCCCTCGCTATAACGCGGTTCACCTTTCGGGCCTCGTTTCGCAGATTTTTTTGGTGCAATTTCATGTTTTTTTTTTTTTTTTACAGACGCATTGTGTTCTGCGTCCTGATTGGCTGTAGACCATTGTCAATCAATCTCGTGCCGTGTCTCCTGTACAGTACAGAATGCGTTCAGCTTGTCAAATTTACATAAATCTTTGATCGCTAGCAGTGTGACTCTGAAGTGCTGTACTGTATGTTTGTAAGTTTTCTCCCCAACAACACAACAATGTCGACGAAACTTTTGCACCGTCAAAGGCAACTGCGGGTGCCTTTGGTTTCATTCTATAATACTGACATTTTCTTTTCAAAGTTTGAACTTTAGAGTGTTTAAACAAGAGAGAAAGTGTGAAAATGTTCATGCCAGTCTTGAAAAGTGTATAAAGTGTGTAGTGAGGGGTTTTACAGCCTTAAAACATCTAAAATAATTGTAAAAAATAAAGTTGGCTACTTCGCAGATTTTACGTATCGCGTGTTATTTTTGGAATGTAACTCCTGAGATAAACGAGGGACCACTGTACTGCACAAACTGTTGAGATTTCAAATCCATTGAGAACTCAAGAAGGCTCACAAATAGTGATAAACATGACAAACGAATCTCTGATCAAGTGATTCTAGTGATTCTTGCAAAAATGTCTAAAGTGCCGGTAAAGCTACCAATAGGACTTAACCATTACACCTTGAGACCAAATTAGGTGAATACCTGTCTGTGTAAGGTCTCATCCTAGTCATGGTAGTCTTAAGAGCTTGAATAAAAGATTTTTTAAAAAGAAGGTAACTGTACTTCTTTCAATTTGAGAAGACACTTCATCTCTCAAAGGAGCTTCAGTTCTAAAACCAAAAGGTGGTGTGTGCAATGTATTTAATCCCCGGAGGGGGTTGTCCCATTTTGAGGTTGCGAGTTATCACATCAGCCAAGGTGTGAAAAAAATGGCATGGGTCAACTCACACCTCAGCTCATTACGGGGCAAGGTCTCACAGTTTTTATGCTCACTGCGTTGCTTGTTATGTGGGAGATGGTTTTCACAACTTCGCCTCCTTATTAGAGCGCATGACGCGATATTGTCTGAGTGGTGAAACCTGACGTTTATGAGAATACTGCAGCGGCTTCCTGCCACGACGGAGGGTATATTGGCACCTTTAGAGTGGTTTCACCCTTAACGTAACCCAACTACACTTTAAATAACCAGGACCCCTGGATGAGAGGTGAAACATCTTCACAAACTTAAAAGTGTCTTCAACCACGATAAATTACAGATGGATGGGTGACAGATGTTTTGCCATGGCATAAGCCTACTGGTCCTTCAAGTTCTTGATTTTATCTAATAGCTGCTCAGGTATCCAGATCTCGATCACCAAAGTGGACGGACAAATTGTCAACCGAAATTGGCCAGCATAAAGAAAAAATCCAGAAGCCTGTGTGGCACATAAATCATCTACTCCTGTACAATGGCATCCTGTTTTTAAAGTTAACCATCTTCAAATAGTACAGTGGTCAGTTGTTTAAATTGATCTAATTTGATGCCCATAATCATGTAGCATTGAGCAACACTTACAATTAACATTATCTTAACCCCACATTCCTAAAAATTGACTCAGATTACACACTAGTGTTTGGAAAAGCAAACCACAGTACTTCAGTGTACTGATTGTACTGACCAAATTAAACAATTTCTTCTTGATTTAAAAGAATTGATGCTTTAATTTATAGCAAACATTTGGTTAAAAAAAAAAAAAAAAGACCTGAGTCTACCTAGTTCACTTGACTCTACTTAAGCCTAGATTGTAGATTATTACTTTGTGTTCAATGCACACATCAAAAGCCTGCTTTGTGTATTATTAGTTTAGCGAGACTGTGTTTGTCCTTAATACTGTTTTAGGTCTGGATACTCAATGCAAAATCCTTTCTGTATTGATTAGCACGGGTTGTGAATGTGATGAGAATGTCAAGATATTTTATTTTATGTTTTGAGTCTCCATACTTGTCCTCCACTCCTGTTGCTCCCAGGAGCTGCAAGTCTTTTTCAATGTAGCTGAAGGCTTCCTGCAGTCTCTCCTCCCTCTGCTGCAGCGCGGTGCGGGCACTGTTTAGTTTCTTGTCCACATCGATGTACTCCTCCGGACTGAAGTGGCGGCATGCTACGACCAGGGTTCGCAAACCTTTCTATAATTAAATTAGGAGAATGGAGTTTAGAAAAATGATTCAAAACAGGGAAGAAAAAGAAGAAATATCAAAAGAAAGGTTGATAAAATGATGAAGGATAAAATGAGACACCACGTTTGGGCAGATGGTAAGGTCAAATGTCGGCAAGGTTGGGAAAAAAAAAAATCATAAGAGAATGATGGGAAGAAATGAATCCAGGAAACAAAGAAGCAAAGAGAAAGAAAGACGAGAAAAACAAATTATTAAAGCTCGACTCTAAATCACAGAGCGAGCCTAAGGGGTAGATGACCACAAATCAACCCACCGACTCCTGGGTACTGACGTATGATGGCATGATGTGAGGACAGTGCGTGTGTGTGTGTCTGTTGTGGCGAGGAATTTACAATGTAATTGGAACAGAGAGCCACAGAGCCAAAAGTAATCACTGTAACACTGAAAAATGTCAGGCCTACACATACAGACACAAATCTGAGGACATAAATCAAAATATATATATTTAAAGGTTTCTTTTGAAGACAGATGTATCAACTTCATCCAATTTGTCTCAGACATCTGACCACAGGGATATCGGGAAGTTTCATATTGATAATCATATTACCTCTAGACAGGTAAGTCATTTGTATCCTATTAAATAATACAGCTGATGTGTGTGACTTCAATGGTAAAAAAAAAAAAAAAATGGGTTTCTGCAACAGATGAAAAATCCCCCCCAAAAATATTGGGCTTAAGGGGTGATGAATCTGTATCATGATTGTGAAAATATAAGCATCTGGTTAATATTTAGAGAGGAAAACAAACAAACAAATAAATAAATAACAAAAATCTTACCATGGCAAACTCATCAACGTGCAGCCTTGTCTTTTCGATCTCACCACTAGTCGCGAAAGGCAAAATGGCAGACTCCGCCCCCTTGGTGAACAGCACTTTGCCTCCTTGAAAAGCAACACAGCAAGAACATATACGCTAAATATGCATTAAAATGTCAATTTTCAATAAAAATATAAAATAAAATACAAAACAAACTTACTATATTATACTTGTAAACATAAGCGTTCCATTTTTCGCTTATTTTAGAATATTATCAACTCCTCAACGTTTCTGTTTTTATTGTTAATGGTTAATTTCATTTTTTTCACTTGCAACAAACGTACAGCTCAGCTGAAGAACGTGGTATTACCTGAGGGAGTTTGCAGTATGACACTCATCCTCCTGCGGTTAGGATCAAACTCGAGTACATGGAGCAGTTTATACCTGAGTGTCCAAACAAAGACCCATCAGACATAGATTAGTTACTCATTTTGAACAGGGGCGATTTATTTTTTGGCTGCAGGTTTTTATTATTTATTATTTTACTTTAAAAACTATGAGAGCATGGAATATCTCCTGAGTGAGATTAAGAAAAACAACAATCCACTGTAATCTTATTTGTGATTTTAAAAATGCACAAGGTGACATACTTTTCTAACTTGCCAAAAGTTTTGATTTCCATGGTATCTCCATTGCTGCAAGAGAAGGCCACTCCAATCCTGAGAGAGAAAAAATATAAAATAAAACAAACCCCAGCACTTATATTAACATCTTACAACAACTACCTATAACTGCAAGCTGTAGCATTTTTCTCAGGACACCGAATCAATACATAATTCATTCAGTTATCCATCCATTCTCTCTGTACTTTGAATAAATGGAATTTAAGTCTAAATGACTGCTTTCTGTCTTTATTTGAAATTTACACAGCATTAGAAACTTTTTAAAAACTGTTTTGCAGCAGAAAAAACAAAACATTAAGCACTGAACTCTACTGTCTGGACTTCCAGTTTCATAGGGTGTTCCTGCAAAACAGGATCCTGAATCAATGGGTGGATTTACTTTAAGGTACAAATTATAATTTACAATGGATGACGACACAGACAGCACAGACAGGCAGTCATTCCGGTTATGCTTCCTTTAAGCCCACTTGAAGTCTGCCAGACAATGTGCAATTGATGCACTGCAGTTCTCTTTGGACGAACTCACATAGCTCTCATAAAATGGGCAGAAACACACACATCCAAACAGAGCCTTATGCTAAACGTCCAACGATGAACTTAACGTCAGTCTGACCCAAGTAGACCTTAAAACACTCGTGGACAAGCAAACCATAGCTTGGTCCTAAACAGCTACATGCAGAAATGATCAATTTATCAAGGTTTTCTTGTAGATCTAGAGGTGGTGTTTTGATTCCAGTTTCTTTAGCTGCCTAATGTTTAAGCAGCAAAGCAGAATGTGCTCACAATACTGCGTTTGCCCTTTCAGGACATATTCCCACAGTGGTCAGCTTGGGTTTTTGAATCGCTTCCTGGATATTGAATTGCTGCCCATATAGTATTATTGCAACACTGAAAGGAACAAGTGGTCAGCAGCCCAACCTCAGTGTCCCCCCCCCCACCAAATTTCCCTTTGCAGCTAACACAATCAGTACAGTATGAATCATGTCAAAGCAAGGATTCTTATACACTTTCATTTATATAGCATATTTCCAGTTCTCAGCACTTTAGACTGCACCTATTCTACATCACATCCACAGCAAATTTAGGATATCACCAATTAACCTAACATGCATGTCACTGGTATCTGGAGGAAAGTGACACTGCCACAGGGAAAACGTGTTTACTCCACACAAAAGGACCCCAGCTGGGGTTTGAACAAACCTTGCTGTGAGGTGCCAGTGCCAATCACTGACCCATCTAGAAAGGCACAGACAAAGCCAAACTCATCTTTAAAGTTTAAAGAAGACTAAGAAAGATTTGAGGAATCCTTAACCCTGGAGAACCCATGGGGTCAGATCCGACCCCATTGGTTTACTAGGGACCCCATGGGTTCTCCAGGGTTAAATTAATAAAGACCTTTAAGACGTTTTGTTGTGGCATTACTGGGATGCAGACTACAATTTACACATTTCCTGTGTCGCAACCTCTGCAGTCCGGTGCAACCACCAGCTCTTAATGTCTAACATCACAACGCATAGCAACAACTTCGTCAGTCTGTTTTTTGTGCATAAATTTTAACCTGTGAACCTGAAACTTGCAGAAGAGGAAGCTCAAGTGTCACCTTACCTTTTTGTTGCCTCTACTAAAGCTTTCTCATCCGGTGAAGAGGCGTAGTACTCCATGGGACTGGAAGAGAACCCGTTGGCATGGGAGAATGGGTCTCCTCCCACAGCCAGGCAGTCTGGCTGGTCGTAGCTGATCTGAACTGTGTGACAAAGTGACACTGCCTTGAGAAATAACAATTCGTCACCCATCTGGAAGGAAAGATGAGACATAAATTGTTATTTTCTCTCCCTCTCTTTTCTTGATGGATACAAACACAGCATGTTATTAAAAAAAAAAAAAAAAAAAAAAAAAACAGAAAAAGAAAAGAACCGAGCCTGCAATATATATATGCAATACCAGGGGAGGCATAGAACCATCTGGTGAGTCGTCTGTCATTCCCTCTGGTAAAAGTTTGCCATTAACTTCCCGGTACTTGGTTCCATTAATCGAACACTCGCGGAACTGCATTTCATTTTCTGTTAGTGTGCCCGTCTTATCAGTAAACACATATTCCACCTGAAAAACAGAAACACACAGATGCTCACAGAAGTACACTAACCATTAAAGTCGGCATAGTTGTATGCTGTATACTGAATATGTACATAAACGTAATTCACCGATTCAAACCGGTTCATATTTCTAAATTACTAAAAATTCATGATATTTCATATAAATGTAAAATATTTTACAGTATATGCTATTTTTATATACAACACTAAAACTCCGATGATACAGCAGGACATCCATGCATATCCATGTTCAGGGTGTGCTTTGTAATATGCATACAAAGGCATCTTCATTCCTCTTTCATACCTGTCCCAACTCTTCATTGAGGTCAGAGGTATTGACTTGAGCTTTCTGGTCACTTTCCTCATGGTAAAGGTCCAAATCCCAGCCAATGAAAAAAGAGCCAAGGAACTTTTGCATCTCCACAGTAACGTAGAGCGAGATAGGGATGATGAAGTTATAGAGCACCAGAAAAGCCAAAAAGTCTGAGATGAACTTTAAGATCTGAAAGAACATGACAGATTCTTTTTTATTTAAAGAGAGGACAAGAGAGCAGTACAATGAAAAGTATAAAGTAAATTTATATACATGCAAGTCGTTTGCACTGCTGCAAGAAAGAGAAATTATATAAACTGTATGAGAGAAGCATTACAAAAAAAAAATGCAGGAGAATATTAAGACTGTCTTTCAATAAATTCGCTTACATATATCTCAGCCATATACAGAATAATGAAACCAAAGTAGGCGAGGTAATTCACTGATATTAAGGGACTGATTATTTAACTGACAGGAAAGAATAAGGAGCACAGACTGAACATATGAGCAGCTATTAAAAGCCATGTTTGCACTGTATAAGCCTTTATGTGAGCCTGACTAACATGCTAATTAAAATAAAGAAATTATAATTAATGACTTAGATATACGTTTGTCTGCATTATAGACACAAGAAGGACTCTCAGAAAAGTGTGATTTAATATTACAAATATAAATTTAGCTATCCTTGGACCGGGATATTAGAAAGAGTTCAGACTTTACAAGAGCTTTATTATTTCCTGTTTGTTTTTTTTCCTGTGTCCAGGAAGCAGGACGGCTTGTGCACAACTATGATTTTTTTTTTTTTTTAAATCTCTTGCTGTCTCAATACATAAGGGCTATTGTTCCCCGTGACTGATTACTGCTGGCAGGTTGGCTGATAGGCTGGCAGGCTGGCCCAGTGACAGGCATTTCCTTTCTAGTGTCTTGTCACAAAATCTAGAAACACTAACACAAGTAGTTTTGTAGACGTACTGTGCATGTCAATTCAAAGAATCTTTACCATTAATTAACTTACATCTACATTATATTATAGGCCCCTTTTTACGGGGATCAGAAAGTGAAGGACAGCGCAGGGTGCAAATGTAAACAGAGAGAAGAAGTGGAATGTCAACTAAAATCTCAACTCATCTAATCTCTGGAGCCGATAGCCTGCAGTCTTCACAAAAACAGATCAATAAGAATGCATTCCTCTGGTCGTGAAAACAAAGCAGACTAACCGGACTGCTGTTTCTCTCCGCTTCTGTCTTTTGGTTGTAGAAAGGTTCGTCCCATTTGATCTCAGCCTGCCAGGCGTACTTTAGGATGGTGCTGAGAATGGCCTCGGACAGCAAGATGATCAGGTAGATGATGAGGAAGGTATTCATGGACCTGACATCGTGAACATTGGGAAATATTAAGTTGGAGACTTCATTAAGCACATCTTAAAAAGCAATAATAAAATAGCTTACTTCTCTACGGCAGAGCGTTTCTGGGACTTGCATTTATAGTTGAGTGCCATCTTGGACTCCATGCCTGTATAAACAGCCACTCCTGCAACAGCACAAAAAGGTAAATCATACTTCCAAATGTAGCGAAAAATGTGAATTCTTAATTGGCCTCATTCTTACGTGAAGTTTGTGCTTTGCTGAACCATTTATTTTTGTTCCTTTTATTTTGACTCACCAAAGATTTCTTTAGTATTTTTCAACCTGGCCCCTCGCAGCAGCAAATTCTCTGGACCCAGCGGTCTGACAAATACAAACAAGAGAAAAATACATCTGTATCTGTATCCAATGACATTATGCATCTTACAATGAATGCACAGTCTCCATATTTAAGTAACAATTTATTTATTTTTTTATGTTCACTCTCTTTTAATGGTGCTGTATCCTTAGCTCTAGTGCTTATAGCTGGTACTATAATAGACAGAAAACTCATCTCACCTAACTATCTCCTCCCCATGCTGAGTCACCGTCATACGACCAACAAATCTGGGAAAAAGAAGAAAGAAAGAAAAAACAGAGTTAAGTGGATTGATAAACCAAACAGGATACTCTGTTCGCATGCACAAAGTAAAAGGAAAAATTCAGGAAAGAACAGAAAACCTGAGACTTACATGCACTGTGATGACCAAATTACTTTAAAGCCTATGTTTATATTTTTATTCATCCACCATTCTCTGACATATTTAAGTAATTGGATTAATGCCTCTGCAGCTTAAGGAAGCTTTGTGACTCATAGAGCACTTAGAAGAAATGACAAATAGAAATGCCAGAGAAAGCTGACATTCAGAGATTGAATTTTGGTCAGACTATATCGACCCAATGTGTGACAGATGCAATTTTAATAATATACAATAACAAAAAAATAATAAAGAAACAAATGCATTTTCCCAAAAAGACAACAAAAAAAGCTCTCTTTTTTATTGTTATGCATTTTGTGATAATGAGCAGCAAATGTAATGTAATGGACCTCTAATACTGCATCTATATATTCTACATTCAAGATGCCACAAAAAAAAGACAAGTTGCAATAAAGATCTAAAAACAAAACAAAAAAAAACACCCTAATGGACAGTCAACATAAATCAGTGCTTTGTGAATATAAATTAGGCCTATGGAGAGATACATAATGAAGCCATTTGTCCAAGCATGACAAAACATTTTACATCTTATGATTGATAAATACTGATTAGTCTGAATGTCTATTGTAATCTTCATCCTACATTTAAAGTTCAGCTGAGGTTCTGTGACAATAATTTCCTGGCTAGATTTTGTTTTGGGGGTTTTTTCATCCACCAACCTCAAGTTGAACATTAACTCGCAGGCAATTCTTGAGCTACTTTATCAAATAGGATCCCACATTGAAAAGGTTTTTAGACACAATGTGCATTCCTCTCTAATAGTAAAAAAAAATAAAAAATGGTAACAGTTCAGATTTTAGTTTCTCAAACAGACAGGAAAGGTTGCTATCATAGTGGAATTTTTAAGACTGTATACTCAATCAGGTTTTTCCACCCAAACACAACCCAAGCTGGTGCATCTGCCCTCATACCTCTGGATTTTTGGCAATTCTTCCTCAGATTTAAGTATCCACCTGCACTTGCAACCATTTATATTTTTTACTTTTGCACCTGCACATATGGAGAGATGCCTTGTTCATGTATTACGAGATTTTCTTCAGACGTTTGGTAAACATGTTTTTTTCTGAGCAGCTTTTTCAAATTGTTACATAACCCTCTGACTGCTTTAGTTACCCAGAAAAAGTTGCTGTTGCTTTTTTTTTCTTATGTGGTTTAATGTGACTAAGTACCTTTTTTAAACATCTGTTGTCTGAATCCACACAATATACCCTTAGATTTATCTTGAAGGATCTGTACACTTAATTGACGATTACCTGTATAGGTCAGGTTCTGGTTGCTGACACTCCACCACAGCCTGCAATGCCTCCAGCTGGGAGACTGACTGGCACACTGATGTCTCCGCCACTGAGTAATGGGTCTAGAAAAAACACACACACACACACAACAGGTTAATTAGTGATGGCTGGGAAGTATTGCATCAAGTGGGACAAATGTGGTTTTCTGAGTGAGCAATGGGAAAATTATAACAGAAAAAACAGTGAACACTCACGGATAAAATGAGAGGAAAAGCAAAAAAAAAAAACAAAAAAACAAAAAAAAAAACTCAGCACACTCTCAAAGTTGGGATCATTAATATGCCAGACACAAACTACATAGAATAGAAAAAGAACTCCTATTCTATGTAAACTGTTTCCATAAGCTGCTAATGAATGAGGCTCAGTGAGGAGCTCTCCATCCATAGGGCTTTAATATGCAGGCCATTAGCCTTATGGTGTCTGACTCTCAGCAATATCGTCAACTTTCCTTCCTGTATATCAACACCATCAGTAGTACGAGCAATTACTCACTGCAGTGACTCAGATCACAGACGATTTATAAAATTGGTTTCACATTTTCCTGACTAGGTTATTAGCCATGCATTCATGTCAGCACGTTTGCAACAACTGAAATTCAATATTGTTTTTTATGTAAATAATACTTTAAATGACCCAAACAGAAATATACAGTGAAATATATAAGCGTCACTTCAACAAAGCAAAAATCTAGTATTTGCTTGAGCTGCGATAAAGAAAAGAAGGTGAAAATAGCTTCTGAAAACTCACAGTGACAAAGCTAAAGAGATTTAAACGCCTCCAAGTATGTTTAACAGCACCACTCATATTATTGTCAGACCTTGAGATTGGTCTCTCCGTCAAGACTGGCTGTGGTGATGTGACAGGTGCCATCTGGACGATCTGACGACAGTAACACCAGGTCTGCTGGGAACGTTTCATCTTTAGCCACACGGACGATGTCTCCCACCTAGATGGATAGACAGAAGCAGGCACAGGGTAAAGTCTGTTCAGTTTTTCACTATATTTCAGTTAAATATAGTCAAATAATTGTATTCACACATTTACGGTGATGTTTAATTGAGTTAAAATACGTTTAGCATCACTTAGGCAATATTATCACACGTTTTCAGACAGATAGGAGAAAAACTAAGTACACACACACACACACACACACACACACACACACACACTTTAGAAATCTAAAAATGTTTAAAACTAAATAGCTAAATGACTTTGTTAAGAAATATATATTGTAGGCAAGTTAAAAATGATTGGGGTGCAACTATTATCGAAATTTGCAAATGTGTTCATTTTTGGTTGTTTTTGACCTCTGTGCTCTTTAGCGTACATGAAAACACCCACAGTTGGACCCTTTGGAGGACGTTGGCTCACCCTGCTTCTAAACAAGCTCCAGAGCCGTTTTTGTATTGTGACAATGTGTTCTGATGTCAATGTGACCCAGGGACTAGGCGCACGCTGCAAGATCTACACGTCGTCCTGTAGTCAGGTGTGCTTTGAGGATGTGGTAGAGTACCACATAAAGACGTAAAGAATACAGTTTTGCCTGAACATTTGCCTAGGTAAATGGAAATGTTAGAGGTACATTCTCCATGTTATTTACTACTCCAGAGCCTGGCCAAGAAGTGTACTGAGCATTCTCACTGGTTAGTGAAGCATTTTAGTTCGCTGGGAGTGTTTCAAATGTTTTGTGTGGGAACAGAAATCAAACAAAAACTCTGTATTGTTCACACTCTAGACAATATGTTTAATTGTTATATTACAGTTTGTAATTTTTAGCTTTTTGTCTTTTCAGAGTAATACAACACTACATATGTTACTTATTTAATAGAAGCTATGCAGTTAGATGTTGTTTGTGAGAAGCAGGTTAGAAGCGATGTAGTTCTCCATAGACTGAGGACAATTAACTCTGAAAGGTCACCAAACACAAAGCAACTAGTCATCCTTTGTATTAGATTAAACAATTTCAATCCTGTTGGCACTTAGTTTCCTGTGAGGAAAAAACCCCTCAAGTGATTCATTTATTCTTTTACTAAAGTACACATTTAGTGATGTCTTTAGTGATGACCCCAGACATGCAACCCAGTGTTTCCATAGTGTCAGATAAGATCAGGAAAAACCTATAATCATCACACAACCACCATTACCAGACAAGCCGAGGTATAAAATGACACAGTGTTTGAAGGGCAAATGCTGCAGCTAGTTATACAAATACAATTATACATAGAACAGAATCATATCACCGTTTCAGGGTTTATTTGAACAGGTCTCTGAGTGTTTGCATACTGTACCATGGGAAATTAGGTGTTAGAGTGAATTTATAAGCTTTAGATGGGAACAAATTTAAAGAAATGACACTTTAACATCCAAGCTAAAGTTAGTTACGAGTCGTTAGGAGTTGCAAAAAGCTTTTTTTGATACCTTAATTTTCTTGGACCAAAGAAATTCTTTCTAAACTGGAATAACTGGCGTGATTAAGGTCCTTTACAACTTTGATGATCTTACCCTGATATTCTTGGATCTCGTCTGGACCAGACTTCCACTGCGAACCACAAACACTGGAGCCCCATTCACCTCATTGTCAGCCTTGTGTCTCAGCCAATCCTCATAGCCCTGTGAAACACAACCAGTTACAAACTGCAGATGGCAGGTGGTTAAAATAATCTTATTTACTGACTATGGTTGTGTGTGTGGCATGTGTGGCACTACTAGAAACTGATCAACAGAAGTGGCCAAATTTAGCAAGTTATTCTAAACAAACGTGTTTAATGTCAGAAACAGGAATGCTTCAAATGTTCTCAATCAATACTTTATCATTTCAAATGTGCTCTGTACAACAACAAAAGCTTTGAGCTTTGCCTACAAATAGACAATAATCATTGATGACGCATGCATGTTTGTTCCACATTTTCATGAGGAAGAGGAAGCCGCTATGTGGTTATGTTCTCACCTGTTTTATGGCAGTTACTGTGATCACAAAGAACAGAGGCAGGCCGCTGGTTACTGGGGAAGTTGGCGTATCTATCATTAACTTCAAAGAAAAATACAAAACAGAGTTTAGAGATGATGCCAAACTAAAAAAGGGACTGTAAAAGTGGTAGTGGTTTTTGCAACAACGAGCAACTTGAAAAATACGACAGAAGTAGTGGCCAACGTGCATAAACAGGAAACCCGTATAACTTCCCTTAAAGGTCAACGATCAGATAAGAACAAGTCTCACACACACTTTTGAATTACTGTCTTTGTAAGCAGGGTCACTGGGATATTATATTTCCTCACCCCATATCCTGGTCTTAATAATCACAACGAAATGCTGAGCAAAGTGTGTGAAACTGAAGACCAAGCTAAAATGGTTTAGTGCCATTGAGCAGTGCTTTTATTAGTCGATATTAGTTTTGGATTGGGGGGTGTTTCATAAGCAGGTTTCTGGCAACTCTTTCACACTGTTGCACTAGGGCTGCTCGATTATGGCAAAAATGATAATCACGATTATTTTCACTGAAATTGAGATCTCAATTATTTGACGATATTTATTTAACAATAACAATGTATTGAATAATGGCTTTAAAGATTGTCAAAAAATAATATAAAATAGTGTGCAAATACTGATAACAGTGCAAATGTTTGCAATATAAGAAATAAATGAAAAATGTAAACATCTATGTTTAGTGAACTTTGCAGTGTTGCTCTGTGGTGCAGCTACGACATCGTAGCAAAGTTTACACACTATGTCTAATTGATCCACGTCTGACTCTGCGAGCCAATAATGTTTCCAACCACTGAAGGTTTTACCTCTCTTTTCAACCAACGGCAGTCACTCTCCTCTCCAAATAACTTCTGCTTAGCTTTCCGAGCTTCCTTCAGGTCCTCTTGTGACGCGTGTTCGACGTGCAGAGAGGTACGCTCGATTTGCCACACGGAGCAGCGCAAGAGTAAAGCACGAGGGACGTGCTAATAATCGGCTCAGTCATTTTTAATGATCGTTGAAAGCCCAGATCGTAATTTAGATTAAAATTCGATTAATTGAGCAGCCCTATGTTGCACTAATCTACAGGTGGAAGTAGTCATCCAATAAAAAAATTTAAAAAAGTAAATAATTACTCTAAAAAAATCCTTGAGCAGACAAATGAGAAAGAAAGCAACATGAATGTAAACAATGCATGTTCATAAAAAAAACAACTGCACTGCAAACTTTTCATGTGAGGAAAATGTGCAACATTTGTTAGGCTTCAAGCATAACCACAAAGGCTTTAGGCAAGCAACACTGAATGTAAAGTGAAACTTTGCTTAAAAGGAAGACGCCTCAAGGAAAAGATCAAAGATATCTTAACACTTTAACAAACACTTTCTGTAAATGGCTACACTAACAGAAGAATTCACCAGTCATCTAGAAACCCATCTAAACCAATCTTTAAATGATCAAATTGGCCATCTTAGATGAAAAGAGGCCCCTCTCTCAGTGATTTGAGGCTAAGCTGACTTCAGCCTCACTGACATGTTGAGTGGGTGAAATAGAGTCAAGGCGATTGCTTTGGCTTCACTACACAGTGCAGAATAAATCAGAAGGCTAAAAATTTGAAAGCCAAATCCTACTTCAGCATAAAATGACTGATGCACAGTGAAGGCCTAATGCTTAGGGCTGGCTGCAAAGACACACATATTACTAAGTGAGTAAGTGTGTCGCTTTCATACAGAGGCAGACCAGTCTCTACTCTGGTACCTAGAAGTCGATGAGTCACTCAATGCTCGGAAGCACAAGCACAAGAACGAGCACAGGCATTTGTATTAAGAGGAGGAAATACGTCAAGGAGTGTTCACATGCATTTGTGTATCGTTACCTGTACAAGGAAGATAATGAGGAAGTAGAAGTTTGCTATCCTTCTGAATTGCTCAAACAGATTCTTGGGGACAAAATTCCAAACTGTATACTGAAATAAAAAAAAAAAGAAAACATCTTTCAGGGTTTACTGGGACAGAATAATTGCTACTAAAGGTTCTTTTTTACTAAGTAAAACAGAGGAATTGAATTGCAAATACATAGATGGTGTATTGGAGGTATTCAAACTACTGTACTAGCAACTGTTTATTAGAGCAGAAAAAAAACACTTTTACTGTGTCGTATTTATACTGGCCATATTTAAGACCTTACATGAATACAATAATATAGTTAAATGATATTCTGATTACCCCTGTAAAATATCTTGTCTATGGCTATAGTGTTCACTGACATTTCCAAATTGGAGCTTGAGATAAAGGAGTACAGCAGCTGTGCTGAGTTAAAGTGTTCTTCAGATAAACTGATTACTGGTTGCTCATTTGCACATTTATTTACTCAATAAATGTGCCGTTTAAGTCTTTCTCTTACTTTATTAAGATAAAATGCTACAGACAGTTAGGTCCATAAGTTTCTGAAGAATGAAAGTTTTGGTAGCTTTACCTCTGTGCACCACCACAATGGATTTTAAAATCCAACAATCAAGACTTGAATCAAGTCCCAAATTTCCATAGGCTCAGAAGTAAAGAAGCATCATTTTAAATTACAGGAATTTTTAATACTTGAATGAAAATCCTTTGCTGTCAATGACTTCTGGATCCTATGGACATCATCAATGCTGTGTTGAGATACTCTCTGCTCAGAGAGTATAGCCCTGTACACTTCACAATTCATCTTGCTGCTTCTATCAGCAGTCACACCATCAGTAAACACTAGCCGCCCAGTTCCACTATCACCCATACATGCCTGTGCTAGTGCCTGGGTTATTGTACTAGATTGTAGATGTGGCCCCTCCTGAAGTTCTTCTCATCTCCTGAAAGAGCTGGACTGGGACGAGCTGTCACGGCGCATTGTTATTATAAATAAAAACGTGATCGTGAGCAAAAACGGTGTGTGTTTGTGTGTGTGTGTGTGTCGCATACCTCACAAGCTCATTTTAGGAGTTCCATTGACAAGCTATAATATACAAGTTGAATATTTGGAGTCAACAGCCAATATATGTCACCCCCATTTAACATAAAATAATGAAGCCTCGCCTGAAACTGGTTGTCAGTTGCTTGTCCAATAACTTTTGAGCAGCTGAAAATGGGGACCATATATTAAAATGTGATTACTAAGCAGTTAATGCAATGTTTTTGTTAAACCCTTTGAATCAAAGCTCTGCATTTCAAGCTAATCTTAATTGAAAAAAATTCTATTGCTTTGTAAAGAGGAAAAATATAAAACACATATGGACCTAACTGTATGAGTACACACGAATGGCAGAATTTACCTTATCCAAAATCAGTTTGAAATCAATGCCTGACTAAAGCAGGTGCTTTAACCCTCCCGTCAATCATTTAATCTACCAGCTAATCAATGACAGTCATGATTGCTGGAGGCAGGCCCTAGCTCCTTTTCTTTGTTATCCTTTTGTCTTGCCAGTGCTCTAGCTGACCTACCTAGCCTCTCACCAACACACAAGTTTTCTGTCTGTGCTAATCCTGTTATCAACAAATCACACTTTAAGCTTATCTCTCTCCTACCACACCAGAGATACACACTAATGTATTTAGCACTGGTCAACACTGGTGTCCGAAACCAGACTGAGTTTAGAGTTTCTCTGAATGACAATTTTTCTGTAGCCATAGTTGCTGTGACTGCAAAATGTTAGCGTTCATATCAAGAGGGGTTTTTTTTCCCCCTTGCACTTTTGACACAAATTTTAAGATCATAATTGTAACATACCTTGGATGAGATGATTCTGTTGTCGGCAAAGCGTTGTGGTATGTAGTGGCCATTCTGGGGGAAACGGTTAGCTACGTACACTGTCCTGGTATCACTCTGATGAGGGGGGTCAAAGCCCTGAGGGAGAAAAGGGTGAGGCAGAAACACCAGACAAGTGTAAGGAAAGGTTAAAAAACAAAACAAAAACAAAACTGTATAGCTACCCAGATTTAAAACATCATCACTTCAACACCACACTAACTATAAAATTGCAGTTAATGATGTCATTGCAATATTATGATCTTATTTTAAACCAAGTTATTTAATACTGTTGGTGGTGTGATAAACCACTGCAAGTCTACACCGCACTAAAGTCCACCTGGGGCAACGTTTTGTTCTTCTATTCATTGTGGTTTCAGCTGCTGTATAGTTGGGAGTGTAAAGTGATTTCTCTGTGGGCTGTTATTTTGTCGAGTGCAGCACAGCTTAGTTTGGGGCTTGATAGATTTTACAGTAAGAGACAGAAAGAGAAGCAATACCAGACACCACGCTACTGTTACAGAATGTAAATACACATATCAAGAGTGAGAATATGGCAATGTGGCATTCCTTGTTTTATGATGACTGTATGTTTCCATTTAAAAGCAAATTTCTGAAAAGCCAGCCATATGCAACAAACTTGGTAAAAGTTTTAGTTTTAGTATAGAGTCAAATAGGGCTGTTCGATATAACGATATATATCGGATGACGATATAAAAACGTCTATCGTTTCATTTTACGCTATCGTTTGTTTCGTGGTGTCGCAAAATAAACTGTTTACGGCAATATTTTTTTCATCGTTCTGATGGTCACTGTAGTGGCTATATTAATTTAAGTTCTCTCTTTCTCTTATATTTAAGATAACCACACTACAGATGGACAAGTGCCTGTTTTTATGCACGACGGTAAAACCATCGCGTGTCCGCTTGTTTTTTTCCACATAAACCTTTCACAATAAAGCTCAAGATCCTGTTGACACTTTTCAAAATAAACTGAATCAGGTGCTAAAAATATACCTTAGACTCAAACATTAGAATAGGCTTTTCCCCGCAGCACACTGTGTAATAAATACTTCCCAAAAAAAAAAGAAAAAGGAAAAAAAAAAAAAAAAAGGCGTCCGTTACAACTTATGTCTAAAAAATGTATCGTTTCATGCATCGGTTAAAACACTCAACTCCACGTTCATGACGCTCAGCTGGAAACACTTCGCGCAAGTCGAGCTGCCCGAGATTCACAGAATTTACAGAAAATATTACATTCTTGTGATTTATATCGTTATCGGGACATGAAATTTTGGTCATATCGCACAGCCCTAGAGTCAAATCATTTTCACTTTTTCAGACAGTTAGACAACATAACACATTTATGAAAGCAAAACAACTTTACAAGCAATGCCATCAACTTGAATGCAGACAAGCCTTATTGCAAACAATGTGGTAAGGCATGAATAACTAGATCAGAAACAGCTGGTGTAAATCCCACTTACCATAAAGATATAGTCATCAGTGAGTGGGGGTTGAGGGACATGGGAAGGGATCTCAAGACTGGATTGTAGGTCACTGACCATTGGTATCGTAAGCCACAAACTCTGTTCAGTGAGTGGCATAGATGGTTTATTTTATTCCTCTTACAAACCATATATCTTCTCGGTTTTTGGACTGATAAGTCTTGAGATCTATTCTCAGGTGCCTTAACCCCCACTCACATCAGGTGACCTCAGTAGGTCACATGATAGGGTGGGGCAAGGTGTCACAGTGGTTTGACCCGAAATCATGATGGTAATAGCCGATGCCTTTTTTCACATCTTGGCTTATGTGATGACACAACTAATAGTTGGTCAACAACCACTTCCTAAGCGACAACCTCAACTAGAGATAAATACCTTGGACTTAGAAATAAAGAAGCCTCTTAAATATGAGGAAAAACATATTTTTTTTAAAAAAACAACCTGCTTTTCAAGCTCTTTAGACTTCCATGTTGTTGTTAACTGAGAACTACACAAACACGTTCATATTGTGCACCTCAATTTTTCTGACCTGAAGTATTCTACCATGGCTGCTGCATCTGGGTTGAAGACACGAGGGTATGATCATGTTGGTTTTTACTGCCATAATAATATTTCAGTACAGAAGCTCAGAGATATCTCCCTCAGATATACAGCGGGAGATGTTGCAACAGTTCAAAAAGCTTGAAAGTCTTTGCTTCCACTTTTGACTTCTTGTCTTCCTACATTGGCACTTACGTGGCAGTATTGTATGAGTGGCGACACATATCGTTCAGGTGAGAACGATGAGGTATCGTGCTGTACCTCATCTGCTTCAGGGTTTGCTGTGTTGTGTTCAGGACAGTGCTGTGTTTGGACTCTCGGCTAGTCTGTTCATTGTTTGTGATATAAGTGGAGGATATGATTAGACAGTTTTTGATATATTTCAGACACATTGTTATAATACTGCAACAATTGTGCACCATACATTCATAATTCCCTCTGTTGCATAAACAAACTGCAGGACATCTGCATTTGAGGCCATGTTCTAATTGCAATCTGTCTCCAACATAAATCTGTCCAAAGCTAACTTCCATACTTAAATACTCTGGTTGAACTGTATGTAATTACATAACAACCTTTCATGTTTTACTTGCATATTAAAATTTCACATTTAAAGCATTCCATTTCTTTTTAAAGCAGCACTTGTTGTTTAAAGTCACTTGCAAATATTTCATAAACATGCTACTTAAAACGTACCTCTAACATATTTACATTCAGATTGAGCAATTCAAATCTCCAGCATATTCTGGCAGGTCTTTGATAGTCACTACACCCTCAACATGTAAGAAAAATAACACCAATGACAAACAAGGTGAACTTTTCAACAAGTGACATTTCTAAGATTTTCTGGCGCTGACTGGTCTGACAAACCCCACCCAACTGCTGTACACAGACGACTAAAGGAGGCGTTTCCTATTATTCACAAATGTAAGTGATGCAATACGCACACCCGACCACACAAAAAGGAATGTATCTGGGTTACGTCACTACACTCCCAGAAAGATCAACCTCTTTTCAGGGACACATGTAAACCATTAGCACTTTGTAATGTTCTCAGTCTCTTCATCTTTCTCCCATCTGACCGTCGTGAAAATGAATGCAGCACATGCAGTTTAATGACTGAATAACAGAACACCTGTTAGCCTTTAGCTCATATGACTTTGTCATACAGTAACTCAGCCAATGGGCAATGCAGGTGATGGCATAAAATCAGTTATCCACTTGTGGAAACAATATTTTCAGTATTCTTCATTTATTTTTTTTGTATTATTTGCTCACAGTAGGGCTGGGCGATATGGCCTAAAATCTATATTACGGTATAATTTGAAGCATGTGCGGTAATGATATACTGTATATCGCGATATATTCTTTTCTTCTGTATAACGTATTTTACACACTATAAGGCACACTTAAAATCCTTTAATTTTTCTCAAAAATCGACAGTGCGCCTTATGTATGAATTCTGGTTGTGCTTATTGACCTCAAACAGATTTTATGTAGTACACGGCACTCAAAAATGTTTTAGTACGACTTTGGTAAGCTATGAAGCCGCACCGCTTGATGGATTGTCGGAGCATTACGGCTACCGTAGTCAGGAGCCTCGTGGAGTAATCTGGGTCCAAAACCTCTGTCTGCTTCAGGTCCCAAAGTCAAACGAACACTGCGGCATCACTGAGAGTTAAAAACTGTCTAAATTCTTTCATCTTTAATAAAATGATCAGCGTTGCTGCTTTACCAGGTGTAACAATTAAGTTTAACATCCAGGCATCCATGAAAACAGAATTTATTAAATTCAACGGAGTTAGAAGTTAGCATGGAAGTAGAGCTGGGCGATAGAACGATAACGATATGTATCGCGATATAACTTTTACTCGATAGAGAAATTAAGCTATCGCGATAGACCTCGCCGCTCTTGTCCTCTTAATAAAAAAAAAAAAAAAAAAAAAGGTCAGCCAATCCAAACTAAGTAGCGCAGAGCCGAACCAATCACAGCCGCAGCGTCACGTCGCGTGACTTGTTACGTACAGCACAAGTGCCAAGCCGCACGTGTGTTTGTTTGGGAAGCAGCCAGCGGGTAATGGAGCCAGCGCGTAATGGAGGAAATGAGTGGCCGACTAGAAAAATCAACCGAGCGTGACCGAAGAGAAAACAGATGATGGTTCCAACGCCGGAGAGATTGTCGAACGGAAGAGCCATAGAAGTTCCGTAGTGTGAAGGTATTTCGGCTATTTCAAGTCTGACAAAAAACAGAGTAGCGTGCACTGTAAATTGTGCCGAAAGCAAGTCTGGAAATACAATAAACTGGTGCATGCGTCACACTGTGCGCCACGTTATTGTTTCGGTGAAATGAATTTCTACAATACTGTTAATTCTACTCTCTGCAGTGTTTAAATGCTTACATATACACACAGTTACTGTCCTCCACACATACGACTCGGTTCTGCTTCTATGCCCCAGCTTTGTTTACTTTTTCCCACCGAGGCTTCTAGACTTCTGATTGGCCAACATTTCTGCACGGTTAGGAATCTAGCGCCACCTGCTGCTTTGGCATGTTCATAGCAGCGTTTTCCTTCATTTCTGCCTTTATGTGTGGACGGGATTATTTTTTAAAACGAAAACGGAAAATCTCCGTTTTCAAAAATACCCGTGTACGTGTGGACGTAGCCTCAGTCTCTGACTGGAAGCGCTAATTCGTCATTCGGCTTTTGTCAGACTAAAGTAACTGTTAAAACTGTTTGAAAAGCTCAGCTATACAACAAGGAGAGATTGAGAATTTCCTTTTAGTTCTCAGTTTATTTGATATTGACAAAAGTTAGTCAGTTTTGTCTGTTCTTCTGTAAAACAAACTAAGATTTATTTTTAGAATTAATATTTTGTTTCTAAGTGGAATTGACAGTTTAGTCTGTTTCGTTTGTTCTATTTTGAAACTTAAACGCTTTAGCGGCTGCCTTTTGTGTAGTTTGCAATATTTGCCTTTATTTATCTGAAAAAGTCTCATGTTCCTTAAGTACATCTACCCTGTTGAACTTATTATGGGAAATAAATATTTAAA